AGAGAGAGAGAGAGAGAGAGAGAGAGAGAGAGAGAGAGAGAGAGCAAACACACTTCAGCCTGATCATGCATATGGCTAAGGGACCGACTCGCGACTCAGTTCAACACAACGTTGGTTCCTGGCACCTTGTTTCTCACGACCGCCCGGTGGCTTGGCTGATGATGTCGTGCAGCAAAAGGCAGATGGCATGCGCAGTGCATTCGGAACCACAGATCTAAACACTCTTGCATTCTCGAACAAAATCCCGGCGACAATTATCTAATCAACACAAAGAGAGTCACACGTTTTCATACATGCATTCACTGTGGAAGGTGCGAAAATGAGATATGCACAGGAAAAGATGGATCGCACTGCACAATACACACGCATCCACCGTTCACAAGACAAGAAGACAGGGTCCTTGCGTAGGAGGATTACCCAGGAAACTAATGGAAGAGTTCCGGAAGAAGTTCTCTCACACAGAAACATGATGCCGACTCATTCTCATTCAGGAGAGGGACAATCATTCAAACGCTTCATCATTCAAAAAGAGAAAGAGAAAGAGAGAGAGAGAGAGTCGAGGGAAAGAAAATTAAAATAGAAGATGGCAAGGTCCGGAAAGAGAAAAGTTCGGCGTCGCCGCCGTATACTCACGCCAAAGATAACAATCCGCAATAAAGGCGCATTCGTCGTTAATTCTAATATGGTCCCGGGCCAATCAACTCAACTTCGATCTTCGATCCTCATACCCGCACCGACGATCCCGACCCTCGCGTGGTAACTCCCACCACTGCGATCGTCACCCCGATGTCGTAAACTCGACACGGTCCGCCCGGATCCCACAGTCCGTCGTGGCGATCAAGCGCGCAACCGGCCAGCCTATCGTCAGCCCGACAGGACTTTCCGACTTTCATCAACCCACTCTGCCTAGCCACTGCTTCCCGGAAGCTAGCTTAGGAGTCGAGAACGTAAGAGAGGTTTGCGGACGCGCTTGCGGGTTTTATAGTTGCGATGGGGGAGATAGAAGGGGGAGAAGGTGAAGGGAAAGCTGAGGTGTAAGAGGAGAAGCAGAAGGAGAAGACTTTAAGAAGAGTGCTCTATGAACGCCATGTTGATCCCTCGAAACTCAAGGTTCAACCAATCAGATTCGCCGCGCAATAGGAAGGTCCTATTGATCTGCGCACCTGATTGGCAAGCGGGAGTTATCGATGGATCGACCGGGCGTCGTGCGCAAGACTTAAAGGGTGAGAAGAGAAAAGACGCGAGAAGTAGTGCAAGACGGGTCCATGATTCTGATGATCAAGAAAGGGAAATGGGCGCGCAAAAAGCAAGGCGGGAGAGAGAGAGAGAGAAGGAAAACAGTCACGGGGAGAGAGAAAAAGGAGGGAGAAGGGAAGGGAGGCGCGGGAGGGAGCGATGCGGAGGACAGAGAGGAGGAAGCTTCTGCATACGCGGCGCCGTCAACAAAAAGAAAGAAAAAGGCACCAAAACAGTTACGGCTTGCTCCTCTCCTAATTCAAAATTGAAATTACCATAGCCGTGCGCGAAAAAGCGACGCGGGAAAAGAAAATCCTACGCCTATTCGTATTCACGCAAAATTCCGAGAGTTTTCCCCGATGCGCCCAAGAACATTAACACACTCAAAAAGGACACGTCGAAGTTTCGCTTATCCCGGAATTCCTAACTGCCGAGCCCAATTCCCAGTGCGCTCGCTAAGGCGCACGTAAATTCCCATGTATTTCCCGACATGCAAAAAGGAAAAACAGATCCCAGAAATCGAAAAAGCCTTCAGAAAAAAAACAAAAAAAAATCGAAACGGGGTTTTTCTGGGGACCGGTATGATACAAGCAAAAGAAGGGGTACGAAAGATGGCACGGGTTCGGGAAGTGGTTCGTCACATATGTGACACGCAGGGGGTCCCAAAATTATGCGATCTCATGATTGCATGTCATGGCGGAGGAGGAGAGAGAAAAGGGGAAGAACAGAGTGATGCATGAGGAACCAAACACATCAGCAGAGCTTCCAGATTGAAGCACAAGGGGTGGTAACTGTGCCGCGGATGAGATGGCGACAACATCCGTGACAAGACCTCCGCAAACCGGTCATATGCAACCCCCTGCTCTGTAGAGATCGTCCAGGTGACGCCATAATGGTCCACCTGATCTCCGTGTGCTCTGCACCCCAGCTTGTTGCTGCCCGTCGAATCAAAGCGTAGGTTGACGTCATCGTCGATGGCGGGATCTCCACAAAGCTTACTGATTCGTGCCGATGAGGAGAGGAGGGGGGGGGGGGGGGGGG